TTTTTTTTTTTTTTTTTTTTTGACTAAAAGATATTACACGTTCCACTGCCTGGAGGGTTCGCCTGGTTGATTCTTGTCTTGGTGGCAAAGCTCCATGGCGACAGCACCCTCTGGTGGACAAGATGTTCATTCCAAGCACAGAACTCCACTGCCTCCAGATGAGGCATGCTGCTCTAGAAAAGCAGTTTCTTGTACAATTCCTGAGCATCATCAGTTTTCCCCCAACTCTTCCTTATGCTATGACTGCAGTACTGAGGCCTGAATCTAGGTTCTCACTCACTATATCACTGAGGTAATTCTCTAGCCCTTTGTATTTAGTTTTTAAAATTCAGAGAGAGTGCTTTGTTAAGCTGCCCAAGCTGGCCTTGAACTTGCAATCCTCCTACCTCAGCCTCCAGAGTAACTGGGATTATAGGTGTATAGCACCACACCCAGACTTTCAACTAGCAGTTCTGAGAGATTAGTACAAAAATACTCTTTCCTGGACAAGTCACTGTTTATCCAAGTTTTGTCTGTGGCTGTACATCAGTCAGGGCAGATGTTGGCAATGGGAAAGAAAGGCAGTTTCCTTTTTGTTTATCCTGTAGCCCTCCTGCCCCACCCCACACCACACCATGTCTGTCTATCAGCCTCAGCATCTGGGTCTCATCTGATGTCATTCTTCCCAAACGTTGGAGTCAGACATAGTGCCGATGCTGCTGTGATCTTAGACTTGGAGCTCCTCCCTGGCTCTACTCCTCACCTCCTGGCTACACCCAGCTCAGGATGACCTCGAGGCCCAGATGCTGAAGCTACACACACCCAGCTGGGCAGAGACTAGGAGGAGCCTGTCCTTCACCCTTCCCACCCTCTCTGAAGATAGAAGCCCAGTGATGGGCTGGCTGGACATAAGCAGGACAAGTGATTTTCCTGGAAGCTGTAAAAAGGAGATCAAGGCAGAACACACGTGTAACCAGTTAGAGATGGTTACGACATATCTATATTTTTTGAAAACAGTCTCCCTATTAGAAGGACCATGACCTTGAACTCAAAGTCCTCCTGACTTAGCCTCCTGAATGCTAGATATTATGTTTTTGAAAAGCATTAAAATCAATGAATAAAGCATGCCACAAAGCTAACATGGAGCCAGGCATGATGGTATACTTCTGTTACCCTAGCTACTTGAGAGGGTTCCAAGTTCAAGACCAGCCTCAGAAATTTACCAAAACTGTCTCAAAAATTTTAAAGATAATATGCTGGAGGTGTACAGTTCAGTGGCAGAGTGACCAAGGGTTCCACCCATTACCCAAAACAACAATAACAGCAACAACAACCATAATGTGGAAGATCTGAGTGGTAAAATTAGTGACCTTTTTGTATTTTTAAGTTTTCAAAGGTTTTAAGAACTAGAATAGGTTAAAAGGCAGAAGGAAGAAACACTTGTTCTAAGTCTGTCTACTGTGAAAGGGAAGCCTATGACAGTGACCATGTAAGATCCCACTCCTGCCTAAGACTCTGCTGACATCACCCAGAGGTGAAGAAACAAGACTAAGGCCAGGCATAGTATGCCTATAAACCTAGCACTCTGGAAGCCGAGTCAAGAGTTTGTAAGTTGGAGTCAGCCTGGACAACTTAGTGAGATCTGTCTCAAAGCCTAAAAAAGTGCTGGGGATGTAACTCAATGTAAAGGCTCTGAGGTCAACTCCCCATTCTGCAAAAAGAAAAGAAGGAAAAGAATGAGAACAGAGGGGCCATATCACTCAGGCAGGGAAATGACATGTTCTTGGCCTGATGGGTACATGGGTGGTGCACACTGCAGCCATGCAGGCCAGACCCATTTGCACTGCCCATCTGTGCACTGCTAGGGCCATGCTTCTCTGTCTTCCATTTTTCTTTTCTTTTTTTGTGTAGTAGTAAGGACTGAACTCAAATCTTTTTGACTTTTTTGAGACATGGTTTCACTTAGCTGCCTAGGCCAGGTTTGAACTTGGAATCCTCCTACCTCAGCTTCCCAGAGTGCTGGGATTACAGGTGTGCACCACTCCAACCAGCTCAATGAATTCTTCTTAAGCAGAACTGAGTTCAAGGCAATGGCAGGACCCCAACAAAACCAGCTTTGAAGCAGCTCTGAGAGCTACTTGGGGAAGGCTCTGATGCACACAGCATAGCAAGCACTGTGGGGGAAGAGGGGACATTCAGAGCTCACCTGTTGGGCTGGCCCTCATAGCTGGCCTCCTCCCCAGACATTCTTCTTAGGTCTGCTGCCCAGAGAGCTGTGTGTGGGATAGGTCAGTGTCCCTGCATCTCAGTGGGGTGTGTGAACACACATAGAGGCATTCAGCAAGCACCCCAGCAAGAGTCAGCTAGGCACAGCACATCTTAATGTGTTTGTTGGTTTTGTTCTGATTACTGGGGATTGCTCCCAGGTTGTCACACTGAGCTATATTCTGAGGGCTTTTTTGTAATTCTTTACTTTTAAAAAGGGTCTCAGTATGTTGCTACATTGCCTGGACTCGGCTTGAACTTGCAATCCTCTTGCCTCAGCCTCCCAAAGCACTGGGATTACAGCGATGTACCATCAAGTCCTTTTTATTTATTATTTTTTTCAAGACAGGGTCACAGGCCTCAAACTCCTGCATTCCAGTGATCCTCTGACCTCAGCCTCCAGAGAGCTGGGATTATAGGAGCAGTTCACTAGCGCTTCAAGCTCTTAACATATTTGTAAGAGAAGAACAAAAAATTGACAGGTACTAAGTAACTGGTCACTCAGGAGGGCCTGGGCTCCTCCCTCCAGATAAACCCTGTGCCCTGCTCTGCTGACTCACAACTTAGCAGGTGGTGCTTCTCCTGGGACCCAACAAGTCCTCCTCAGGAACAAAAATCTGGGCACTTACTGATCTCCTCCATCACTACAGTATTGTCCATCGCTATGTGAACGGCCAAGGAGCTCCACGTATCGAATACAGCAAGCTTCCTGCAAGAGGAAGTCAGGAGAGCACACCCTGAGTGTCTCACAGCTAGATGCTGCCCCTTACACCTGCCACAGTGGGTCTCAGGAGACTGCCCTCATAGGGAAGAAGGTGAGGCTCAGACAGGAGAGTTGAAAGGGACTCTGTTCCTCCCCATCAGTGCCCCAGCTGCCCTTCATGAACAAAGCACATGCGTGTACACATACACATACACACACACACACACACACACACACACACACACACACACACACTCCACCAGTCCTGGGGCACAGTGAGGAAGGAGGGGTAGCACCCTACCAAGCACTCTGTGAGGGCAGCTCAGAGCAGAATCCTCTCAAAGACACCCAGGACGAGCCCTGCAGAGGAAAAGGGGCTGCAGTTTCATAGTTCCTGCAGCACATGCATGGAAACCTGAGCCACTCCTGGGCATGTGGCATACAAAAGACCTGTTACCCAGTGAGATAGGGAAGAAGAAACCATTCCAGGCACAGGGACAATGCTCAGGCCCTGAGCTGCAAGGACTTGCTGTGTCTGGGGACAGAAAAAAAGGCCAGAGCCTAAAAAACCTAGAGGTATACAGGATAGTGGCCTGCCCAGCTGTTTCCTCTGCCCTCAGCCAGCTGTGAGAGCGAGCATACCTCAAGAGATGGGGGACAAAGCAGGATCTGCCAGAGCTAGCACCTATGGAAAGCAGACCACAGGACACGTGTTAAGGGCCATGGAGAAACCCTGAAGAAGGGGGCAGGAGCACTGGGGCGAAGAATATGGCAGTCAAGAGCACAGAAAGACCTGAAGCAGGAGCCTCCAAGGAGCAAAGGAGCATGCACCTCAGCAGGGCATCATTATGTGGGCACAGCACGGGCAGCCAGGAATCTTAGACAGTTCAGAGTCAGAGACACAACTGTCAAAGATTGCTGAAGCTACAGAAACTCTGGCTACTACTTCAAAGAGAGAATAGATCGACAAGAAGGAAGAGCCAGAATGTAGACCAAGGCAAGAGAGAAGGGATGAAGATCAGTCAGCAACAGGACACAGCTCAGGCGGGGCAAGAGGAGGTGCAGATGAGTACAGCTTCTGGCCTTCATATGGTCCTGCTACACGTGGTCCCTGTGCAGAAGCAGGAGACAGGGAGGCTATGTTCATGAACAGCAGGGGTGGGCACATGGTATCTGAGGAGCCCCAAGAGGGGATGCACACACAGAGTTATTGTTCAGAACGTAACTTTGGAGCATTCCTGCAGCTCCACAGGTCATGGAGGAGGAACGAGTAGGAGCCAGAGGAGACCAGAGGACAGGAGGAGCAGCACAGCTGAGAAGTGGCCCAAGACCCACAGCAACAGCCACCTCTGGCTAACAGGGTGACACGAAGCTCTCTGAACACACCAAAAGGGTGGATGGCAATCTTGACGTGACTGCTTAGAGGACAGGAAGCACCATGAAGAAGGCAGGTAATGAACCCCATGTGCAAGGTGAGGCAGGCCAAGCCTGGGCAAGGACTCTGAAGGGCACAGACAGGCTAAGCCAAGAAGACAGCAAAATGGCAGGAAGTCAGACACAGGAAAGAGGGAAGAGTCCAGAAGAAAGCCAGTAAGAGGAGCTGGATGCAAACAGGAGCCTTTCCAGAACAGGCTGGGGGAGATAAGAGGCTACCTCACAAACAGCAGGGGTAGGCACCATGGTGTCTGAGTGGAGCCACAGTTGCCAGGTAGGCTTTAGGGGAAGCAGCAGCGGAGACCAGACAGATGCAGGAGGCAAGGCCCAATGAGCAGGAACAAGGTCCAGTGTGGTGACTCCTGGAGCAACAACCCAGAGCCCCCCAGAAGGGCTCAGACTCTGAGCACACAGCCCCAGGGAGGAGCATCAGGCCAAACAACTCAGAAGGGCAAGGGCCAAGAAGTGTCCCGTTCCTAGCAACACAGGAAGAGCCATTTCAGAGGGACTGGTGCTGAAGCAAGGGAAGAACAGTGCCCTTAGGACAAAAGGCCAGTGCAGATGAAGCCCAGACACTGGGGCCTGTGGGAGGGCAGAAGCCTATGATAGGCCCTGAGGGGAAGGGCCACAAGACCCTCACACACAGCCACCAAAACTGCCATAGCTCCAGATCAGCTTTCACTTCCAGACCATCAGAAACCACTATTACTGATGGACCCACGGGCCTATTTCCACGAACATGACCTGGGTAAAGCACTAGTCCCACAGAAAACATAAATCCCACAACCTGGTAAATCCAGGTCCCCTCTAAGGACCCTCCTGAAGCCCCTTGTCCTGCTTGTCAGTGAGGGTTCAAGAGCATAAACACCAAGGGAAACAGGCTACCCAGAGGAGTGGGCAGGCCGCAGCCCAGCACGTACTTGAGGACCTGGGCGACAGTGTTCGGGCCATACCACTGGCCAATGGACTTTCCTTCTCCAACTCCCATTTGCGCTGCAGGAAGCAGATCCAGGTTAGCAACATGCACTATCCCAGGCCTCCAATGCCCCCTCCCGTCCACTCTTCCATGTGACATGGCAGCAGGAAACACTTCACAGGAAGGCCCAGATAGAATGCCCACCTTCCAGAGGGGTTCTTGAGTGAGACTTAGAAAGAGGGAATGGGAAAGGGAATGTCTAGAATTCCCAGCTCCTCAGCTCTATGCTTGGCCCTTCCAGAAGGTTAACAGTGCTCTAGGCTGCCTCCTATGCACCTGCTCAGGACACTCAGCTGCACCCAACCAGACCAGAACAGCCCCTGGAAGGACCCATTGCTGCCTCTTCATGGAGCCAGCCCACCTATCTGGTGGATGGAGTAGTAGCTGTCCTTCCTGTCAAGGAAAGCATTGAGAACGCTGAAGTAGCTGTCAGGCTGCCTCTTCTGTTGTGCCCACCTCCAATCTGTGGGGAACAAATGCAAGGGGTTAGTCTAAGCAAAAGCCAGAGAAATGAGGCTGGCTTTACATGGTGCTCAAGAATTACACAGGCCCCAAATCTATCCTCAATCTTCTCAAGACAGAAGTCAAACACTCTAGGATCGCACGTACATATATACCAGCTCATCTAGACAAATTGACAGTGGCTAAGGATACAGCTCAGCGGCATAAAAGCACCTGCCTGACAAACACAAGACCAGAGTTCAATTTCCAGTACAAAAGCAACAACAACAAAAAACTGACAGCAGAGAATACTTTCAGTAGTTTAACAACAATTTCTAGAGAAATAAACATCAGCATTCTTTAGAGTAAGCTTTTCCAATCATTGAAAACCTATGGTCTAGGGGGCCGGGGAGATAGCTCAGTGGCTAAAGTGCCTGCCTAGCAAGTGCAAGGTCCCTAGTTTGATCCTCAGTAATACACACACACACACACACACACACACACACACACACCCCTATGGTCTTACCTGTGATGTGCTTTAAAAATCCCTCCAACCACAGCCTCTTGTCCCAGCACCCTTTACTACACTGTCATACTATGACTTACCTCGGCCTAAGTGCCGGCACACCAGAGCCTGTGCGAAGATCATCTGTCCACACCGCAGCATGCAGCCCCAGCCTGTATCCGAGGTAGGGCCAGTTCCCCCTGTCACAGCAGACAGAGAAAAGGGAAGCCACCATCAGAAGTCCACAAATGTTTCACACCACCCCTCACACATTGCTTGGTCTCAAGACCCGCACACTTAAGGACTTTGAAATGCAAGGGACAAGTCCTTAAGATGGAAAAAGAGTATAGGGACACATCATCCATATAGCAACTGGAATGTCTGAAAACACAGGTACAGACAGCACCCCATAGCCAATCCAGAACCACCACATTCAACAAGGACCATTTCGCAGCTACTAGCTAGGTTAAGATTCAAAGGACATTAATGTCCCTGAGTGTGGGCAGTGCCTGGGCAAGTGGTCAGGACTACTCCTGCCCTACAAGCACATGTGCCCAGGCTGTGCCATCTCATGCCCTTACCAGGCCCAGGGAGACAGAAGAGAAGCTCTATGGAACTGTGGGAAACATCCCATGGCCATGACAGGAGGCCAACATAATACCATGGTGCTGCCATGACCAGGAGGAAGAGCCAAGGCAGTGGCAGAGAAAAGTCAAGAACAGGTGACCACAGCCCCTTCTGTAGTTAGGACCTGGAGCCCTCCCCCTGGACCAGAGGAACTGTGTATACCTACAACCTAGGCAGCAGCCCAGCCTTCCCCATACCTATCCTCAGACATTGCTGCAGGGCATAAGCTGTAAGCCTGTGAAAGCAGCTCCACCCACAGAGGCTCAACCCCAGGCTGTTCTTCTCCACAGTGGGCCAAGTAGTAAAGCCTTCTCTTGGGCCCTGGTTCCTTGCTCAGAGCCTAAAAGTAAGCATCAGAGCTACACAGAGAGGAGGTCCAGAGAAGGGTGAGTTGTGCATCTGTAGAACCACTTCTTTTTTTTTTTAATATTTTTCTATTAATTGGGTTTTTTTTTTTAATTTTATTTATTTATTTGTGGGGGGGGGCAGCTCAGCCCACCAGGGGGCAGGGCTGGCTGGCATGTGGTGCTGGGGGATTGAACTGCGGTCCCTGTGCTTTGCTGAGCTTGTTCTAAGTAGGTGCTTTAGACCACTGAACCATCTCACCAGCCCCTGTAAAACCACTTCTGACAAATCACATCACCAGACATGAGTCATGGGTCTTGCTTCCCCTGAATGCCAGGCTACTGTGTCTACTTCATTTCCACCTCGCTGTGGGAAAAGGATAACACACTATCCAAGGAAGGAACCAATTCATGACCTGGCCATGGGGTAGCAAATGTCAGCCTGGTCCCTAACATCCAACTACAACAAGGCTGAGAGCTGGTCCCCAACCTTCATCTATCTTTAGAGCAGGCAGAATCAGCTTACATGAAAAACATCAATTCACCTCATCCTTGTCTTCCCAAAACCAAGTATGCACATATTAGAAAAGACAGAGGAAGGAGCTGGGGAGATGGCTCAGTAGAATAAGTGCTTTCCTGGCAAGCGCAAGGGCCTGACTTCAATCCCCGGCTCCGCAAAAAAAAAAAAAAAAAAAAAAAAAAAAAAGAAAGAAAGAGAAGACAGAGGAAGAGTAAGGCTTCCAGACACCCTGGACCTATATGAGACCAGTGTGCAGTCAGACATGAGGCACACATTCAAATACACAAGCTGCCTGAAGTCTCCTGAGTAGGGCGCTGCCTGGCTGTGGCCAACATTGTTTCATAACTCACTCTTCTGTGTACATTTAAAGTTGTTATGGGGAATTGGGATGTAGCAGTGTTTGTGTTTGTCTAGTATGCATGGGATCCCACCTTTTATCCCCAGTGCTAGTAATAACAAAGAGACAAACAAAAATAAACTTAAAACTCAGTAACACATAGCAATGAGCCATTATAGGAGAAAATGAGTTCCCCTGCTAGGATAAGCTGCCTGGACATGAATCTACCAGCTGAGCCACTGTTGGGAAACCTTGACCAATTTATGAGGGGACTGGAACATGGGATCTGCCACTCAGAAGCCTCTTTCCTTCCTGCCACACAGTGGGGTACTCACCAATGGCTGGGAAGTTTCTCCTGTATGTAAACCACAGTCTGGATGCCACATCAGATAAGATTTCATCCTTCTCTAGGGTTGTTGAAAAAAGGAAGACACATAGAGCCTTCAGTTTATAAGCCAGATACCATAGGGGAGTTAGCAGAAAGCAACAGAGCAGAGTGGCTCCAACATGGCCAGTACCTGTGAAGATGCTGTATTTTCTGCCCAGGATCCAAACTGGCTCAGAGGTCTCAGGAAAATCCTCAAACTCAGCAAATCGGAGCGTGTCATAGGTAAGAGTGGCTGTGGAAATCAAACACACATATATCTATTGACTTTTATAATTACACAGAACAATACCACAGCACTCAACCTTTGCATTTCTGCACTACAGCAGTAGATTCTTCCCAAGAAGGGCACACCCATGTCCCCGTAGTGACCAGGTCCCTGTGAGCACCATGAATGGTCAAAGGATAACTGACTACCAAGGAGAAGGAAGAAGAGGTCACTCAACTCATGATTTCAAATGTTTTAAGTCTAGAATGTTTAAATTCTAAGAGACAAAAGTAAAATAAAGCCACACTATTTTTTGTAGACTGGGGAACCACACATGTACATGGCACTCTACAGTGTACCAAATGTTACCATGGCAGAATGTTCAGGGGTGCTGTGACAAAGGTGACAGCCACTGAGCTCCTGGAAAATGAGGATTCTAGTCTACCCCCATTTCTTGGTTAGGAGCAGTTAACAGAGAGGGATAAAGCACTACTCCAGTAGGACATCAAGCTGTTGTAATATCCTCAGTGGAACTGGATGTCAAGAGTCCTAGAGACAAGGCTTGGAGCAAGTTTTCACTTTGATGATGCTAATGAAAAACACTGTCACTACCAGCCTCCACAAAGTAACTCCCCACAGGCTATGGAGGGAAGTGATCACAGTCATGGTATCCACATACTGTGCCATAAGCCCTGAGTGCCATTTTACCTATTCAGTTTCTACGTAGAACCTAGGAAGCTAGACATTGTGGCACATGTCCATAATCTCACCTACTGGGGAAGCTGAGGTAGGAAAGTCACAAGTTTGAGCCCAGTGTAAGTAATCTCCCCCCAGCCCCCAACCAAGGATTGAACTCAGGCCTTTATACTTGCCTGGGAAGCGCTTATTCTACTGAGCTATCTCCCTGGCCCCTATAGCCTGAGTAATTTAACAACATCCTCTCTCGAAATAAAACTTAAAAATTACTATGCTGGGCGTGGTGATTTACACCTATAATTACAGCATTTAGGAAAATTATAGTTAGAGGCCAGCCTGGGCTACACAGAGTTCAAGGCTGAACAATTGAGGTCCTATTTCAAACAAAACAAAACAAGCTCATCCTTCCCCTCATTCTGTACAAAAACACAGCTTTCTATTCAGTTTCTACTGACCTTGAGTAAGCTGATACAGTGATGGCTAACTTAAGTACCCTACTAGAGTGCTAAGTACTCCTGCTGTGAACTACAAGGTACAACATCCCTGCTGTGCAGTCCCCCAAGGAATGCAGAGAACAGGGTGTCACTTCTTGCTGTTCATGGTTGGGGTTTAAATCCTGGTTACAGGTCCCTGCAACCCCTCATCCATAAAATGGGATAAGACAGCTTCATGGTGCTAGGGAGACAGCATAGTGATCTAAGCACCTGCCTGGCAAGCCCAAGGATCCAAGTTTGGTGTTTGATCCTTGGTACCACATGCTGTGCCGGCCCCAGAACCCTGGGCACCCCATGCTGGCCACAGAACCTGGGCATGGAGGCACACATTTGTAATCCTAGCACTGGGGAAACAGGAGGATCACTATGAGTCTCAACTGCATAGTGAGACCCTGTATACAACAGATTAAATAAGTAAATACATGGCAGCTTCACCACATGGCTGAGAAGGGCACTGATGTCACCACCCGTCATTTATATCAAGGATGCAAACCCACAAGGGACTATACCCAGCTCATTTTCAGTCACAGGCTGAGGAATACTAGAAAGTGTCCCCCAGTAACTCCTGAGACACCTTACCCATCTCTGCCTTTCCTGAAGCACTGCCAAGGTTTCCTAAGCCCCACAGTGGGCCCTGAGGGACACAGACACTAGGTTCAGTTCTGTCCAGGAGCTCTACTCTTTTTTTTTTTTTTTTTTTTTTTTTTTGGCACTGGGGATCAAACTCAGGACCTTCACTTGCCAGACAGGTACTACACTTCCAAGACAGGCACTAGGAGCTCTACTCTTCTGTATTTTTACCAGTCTGTATTAAAAAACAGTGTTATTTGGGCTACTTGGCGATATATAAACTACAAATAAAGTCAAAGATATAGATAGATAGATA